CCTCTGCCTCCCAAGTGCTGCGACCTGTGCATCACCACACTCAGCTGTTTTGTTATTTTATATGTGTATAGTTTGTTTGCATGTCACATGGGTGCATGTATGTTAATGCATGTGGAGTCCAGAGGTCAATGTTGGGGTGTCTTCTTCTTCCTCTATTACTTGACACTGTTTTTTGTTTCTGAGACAGGGTCTTACTATGTAGCAACACTGGCCTGGAACTCACTAAAGAGACCAAGACTGGCCTCAGATTCACAGAGATCTTGCCTTTGTCTCCCATTGCTGGGCTCAAGGCTTGTGCCACCACAGCGATATTATGTTTTGGAGACAAGGTCTCACTGGATTCAGAGCTCACCAATTGCTGACACCTGGCTCTAGGGTCCCCCTTTCTCCACCCTCCTCCCTTCCTCAGTACCAGGGCTACAGGCATGTGCCACCGTGCACAGTTTGTGTTTTTCCTGTTTTATTGTCTGGTGTGCGTGCGTGCATGTGTGTGCGTGTGCGTGTGCATGTGCGTGTGTGTATGTGCGTGTGTGTGTGTGTGTGTGTGTGTGTGTGTGTGTGGTATTACAGTCAAGCCAATGGCCTTGCACATGAGGAGCAAATGCTCCTCTTCTGATCCACATTCCCTGTCCATGCATACCTTGTTTTTTTTATCTTATTTGTCTTATTACACGTATTTGTGTTCATGCGTGCGTGCGTGCGTGCGTGCGTGCGTGCATGTGTCAGTGTTGGGGGGCAAACACACCGTAGCACATGTGTGGAGTTTAGAAGAGAGCTTTGTCACTCGGGTCTCTCCTGTCCACCCGAGTCCCTGGGATTGGTGACAAGTGTCTTTACCACTGAGCCATCTCTCTGGCCCATGCAGTTTTTTGTTTTTTTAAATAGTGACAATGACATACTCAGAGGGCAGTTTTCGGAAGCTCCCTCTGGTGAGGTGGCACATGGAATAGGATGGTTAATCCTGAATGGCTTGGGGAGCTGTCTTAGTTAGGGTGTCTATTGCTGTGAGGAGACACCATGACCACCATTTAATTGGGGTGGCCGGCTTACAGCTTCAGAGATCCAGCCCATTATCATGACGGGGAGCATGAGGTGTGCAGGCAGACACGGTGCTGGCTACATTTTGATCTGAGGGCAATAGGAAGTGGGCTGAGACACTGGGTGGTATCTTGAACATATGAGATCTCAAAGCCCGCCTCCACGGTGACACACTTCCTCCAAAAAAGGCCACACTTCCTCCAACAAAGCCACACCTCCTAATAGTGCCACCCTCTATGAGATTCCAGGGGCCAATTACATTCAGACTACCACAGGAGCCCACTGAGGAGGCTGGTGCTGGACATCTGCAACAGCAAGGAGTCCCAGATGTTGAGTAGACAGAAGGGAGACTCCACACAGCAAGGTGCCTGGTGCTGAGCACCTCACAGCAGCTCCATAGGGCGGAAGTTGCTCTGCTTTGTTTACTGCTGTATCCCACCTAGCACTGAGGCTGGCAGCCAGAATCCTCTACGAACTTAGTGAATTAGGTGATCCCCTCTTGCAGCAATGTGATCCTCTCTCCCTTTCTCTCTCTCCCTGTCTTGTGTGTGTTGGTGTGTATGTGTATCTCCATCCCCCCCCCGTGTGTGTATGTGCCCCCCCCACGGTGTGTGTGTGTGTGTGTGTGTGTGTGTGTGTGTGTGTGTGTGTGTCTGTGTGTGTGTGTGTGTGTGTGATCAGATAGGGTCTCATGTAGTTCAGTCTGGTCTTAACCTTGCTATATAGTTGAGACTAGCTTTGAACTTGTGATCTTTCTGTCTCCACCTCCCCGGGATGATAGGCACATGCCGCCATGCCCAGTTTTCAGTTTTCCCCCTTCACGGTGACGTGAAGCACAGCCATGCTCTTCCCTTTCATCACAGTTTTCAGAAACTAGATCTTTGTGAGGATGTGTGTGTACTGGATGGTTTTGCTTAGCTGCAGGTTGATGTGGCTGTTCTGAGCCCCCGTGAGGTCGGCCCCTAGGCTAGGATGTCCGGGAGGTGTATTCAGTTCATCTTCCCTTGCAGTAGTTTATACTCATCGTGGGTTTCTCAGGACGTTGACACCATTTTAAGTTGAGGAGCTCCAGCTTTTACTGACTAAGATGTCAGGCAGGCGTTGAGGCAGAAGCCTGGGTTCCCGATGCCATCGAGAGAGAAGGGCCGAGGGGGAAGGGCTTAACCTAGGCTCAGTTTGGAGCGCTTGTGGGCACCTGGCCAAGCTAGTCTGCAGTTCAGAAGGGAAGTAAGGCTAGAGATTCATGTCAGTGTCCCTAAAGCACAGACCCTTCCTGCCCAGGGCTAGCCAAGGGGTGACTTTCCTTCCCATAGGATCCACCTCTCCATCTCAGTGACCCTTTCTGGGGCAAGTCACCTAGCCCAGACTGGCCTGAGAAGTTTAGATAGACAGGGGACTAAGATGACAGACCTCATGATGAGTGGTGGGGGTAGTGCACCCTCACCTCAGTGTCTCTTTCCTTGGCTCCAGAAATGCTGCACTCACCGCTGCCCTGTGCCGGTGGCAAGGCCAGCGGAGACACCCCAGACGTCTTTATCAGCTACCGGAGGAGCTCGGGTTCCCAGCTGGCCAGGTGAGGGGGGTGGGGAGGTGACTGGGTTTTGGGGCCAGGCCATGGTATTGACGATATTCCTGCAGCCTCCTGAAGGTGCACCTGCAGCTGCATGGCTTCAGCGTCTTCATCGATGTAGAGAAGCTGGAAGCCGGCAAGTTCGAGGACAAGCTCATCCAGAGTGTCATGGCGGCTCGAAACTTTGTCCTGGTGCTCTCTGCTGGGGCGCTGGACAAATGTATGCAGGACCATGACTGCAAGGACTGGGTGCACAAGGTAGGTGTCGGCCTGGGCCTCTGTGATGAAACGTTGGGTGGGGCGGAGGGGATGAGGTTTTCCCCTCATCCCTTGTTTTCTGTACACCCCAGTAAATACAGATATTTACAGTATGATTCATAATAGTAGCAAAATTAGTTATGAAGTAGTAACAGAAATAATTTTATGGTTTGGGGTCACAGCGACATTATGAACTGTATTAAAAGGTCGCAGCATTAGGAAGGCTGAGGACCACTAATCTAGGATTGTTAAAAGGACTCACAGGGCTAAATTGGGAAGCCTTCAGCAGGATGCCTGGCACATAGGAACTGCTCGGTAGTGGTAGCAATCATATTACCAATTTAATTTTTGTGATTACATCTGTTAAATTCACCATTGTACCTCCAGTGCACGGCAGGATGAAATAGCCCTTGCAGGAGGCGCAGACAACAGTTCCACAGCACACCTATAGATTATCAGTCATGCATCAGTCAGTAGGGATTGGAGCTTGGGCTAGGGGATGCAGTAGTCAACTGTGGTGAGGTTTTGTTGCCTCCAGGCAGCTGAGGACAAGAATATGCCCCAGAGTGAGCCTGAGCTGTGGCACTGGCCTGTAGACTCAGCTACTCAGGAGGCTGAAGCTGGATGATGATTTGAGCCCAAGACCTGCTCTGGCAACACAGCAAGACCTTGTCTCTTAGCAACAAGACCAAACAAAACAATGAGGCTGCAGAAAATGTTCAGTGGTTATTGAGGAGGACCAGGGTTTAGTTCCCAGCACTTACAAGCTCCTGTAATTCCAACCCCAGGCCATCTGATGATACCTTTTGGCCTCCCAGGGCACTTGCACTTATGTACACACACACACACAAGCACACATACATGCCCCTCACATTCACAAGCACGCATATGCACCGAAGCATAGACACAAATACACATAATTTAAAATAAAAAACAGGGCTGCATGTCTTGGCACACACCTTTAATCCCAGCACTTGAGAAACAGAAGAAGGTGGGTACATTTCTTTGACTTTGAGTCTGGGCTACATAGCAAGATCCAGGCCAGCCAGGATCAGCTATATAGTAAGACCCTGTCTCAATAAAATAAAACTAAAATTAAAACATGAACAAACACTGTAAAAATATGCCCACAATGACTCATGTAAACACAGAGCCAGGGTTGGAATGATCAGGGGAGGCTTCATGGAGGAAGCAGAGCTTGAGAAATGTCTTAAGGATGCTGGTGAGGGTCTGGCAAGATGGCCCAGTGGTTAAAAGCACATGCTGCTCTCACAGAGGACTGGAGTTCAGTTCCAAGCACCCACATCAGGCAGCTCACATCCTCCTATAACGTCAGCTCTAGGGGATCCAGCACCCTCTCTTGCCCTCTAAAGGTACCTGCAACCATCCATACACATAAAATAAAATACATACTTTTAAAAAGGAGAATGCAGACAAATGGAGGAGAAGGTGCTCCAGGCAGGGAACAGCGTGGGTGAAGGAGCAGAATTGGGATAAGACAGTGTCACACACTCACAGGCTTCAGACTGAGGCTCAGAGAGGCAGCGTAATTGTAGTGTGGAAACCGGAAAGGCCTTGCTCTTCCCCGAGACCTGTACCATGTTTGATGACAGAACTGAGATTGTGGGGGGCACTCAGCTGACCTGAGTGCCTTAGTTAGGGTTTCTGTTGCTGTGAAGAGACACCACGACCACAGCAACTCTTGTTTTTTTTTGTTTGTTTGTTTGTTTGTTGTTTTTTTCCCCGCAACTCTTATAAAGGAAAACATTTAACTGGGGTGACAGCTTGCAGTCCAGGGGTTTAGTCCATTATCGTCATGGTGGGGAGCATGGCGGCAGGCAGGCAGGCAGGCAGGCAGGCGGGGTGCTGGGGAAGGAGCTGAGGGATCTACATCCTGACCCACAGGCAGCAGGAAGTGGTCTGTTTCACTGGGTGTGCCTTGAGCATAGGAGACCTCAAAGCCCGCCCCCACAGTGACACACTTCCTCCAACAAGGCCACACCCACTCCAACAAGGCCACACCTCCCATTAGTGCCACTCCCTTTGGGGGCCATTTCCTCTCAAACCCCCACACTGAGAGATAATTGAGAGAACTTCACATCCAGGGGTGTCATTTGGTGACTTGAAACTGGCCGTGGTGGGAGTATTTACACCAAAGAAATCGGCAACCGTTACGAAGTGGGGCTTGGAGGGTTTTGTTTGCGCGGTTGGTTAGTTGGGTTTTCTCCCTGTGGAGAGCTAACCATTGCACATTCACCGGGTCCCATTTGCTAGGTGAGAACTGTGAAGCCAGGCTATAGAGCGTCTAAAGGAGCGAGAAGGGGCCTGAGGGCTGGCTCAGCAGGTTAAGGTGCTGGCTGCCAAGCCTGGCAACCTGAGTTTGAGTCCTGGATCCTACATGGTGAAAGGAGAGAACTGGCTTTTTGTAAGTTGCCTTCAGACTTCCATACACACGCTGCTGCATGTGTGCACATGCATGCGTGCACGCACTCGCACACGCGCATGCGCACACACCCCTGAAGAAGTTATCTAAAGGGGAGGGAAACCCCGCACATAGGCCCTAGGAAGCAGAGGGCCCATGCCAGTTGTAGCGGTTTCTTGTATTGTTGTGTAACAAGGTACCAGACACAAGCAACTCCAGGAAGGAAGGTTCACTTTGGCTTGCAGCTGACGAGAACGTTCCAGCACAGTGAGGAAGTCGAGGAGGAGCTTGAGGCAGCTGGTCACAGTTCATCTGCCGTCAGGAAGTAGAGCGCGGTGGATTCGGCTTCTTCGACAGCCTCCCCCTCCCCCCGCCCTACCCCCCGCTTGTGCAGTCCGGGATTGAGGTTCAGGGAATGGTGCCCCCCACTTTCAGGATGAATCTTCCTGCCTCAGTTAACCCAGTCAAAAGCATCCCTCACAGGCATAGCCAGCACTAACCTGATCTAGATCATCTCTCACAGTTACCCCAGAGGCTTGTCTCTTAGCCAATTCTAGATCCAGTCAAGTCAATCACTTTTAGCCATCCTACCAGGGGAGGTACTAGGGCAGTGAGTGTGAGGAGAAACACGGAGTGCCATCAGATTGGCAGTGGGAAAGAGGGCTGAGCCCTGGAAGCCATGTCAGAGGGCTGAATCTGGAGCCTGGTTTGTGGAGGAGGCATGGGACCAGGAAGATGTCTTCCAGGAATGTGATTGAAGATGCTGTGGAGGTGCAGGCAGCCTTCTGGGGTGATGGGGATTGTCTCTCAGTGCCAGTGAGTTCAGACCTGCTGCGTTTGTGCATAGAACAAAGGAGACTTAATTTAAAAGTGTATGGACTAATTGGACCAATGAGTGATGAACAAAGGATGAGTGATTCTGATGTAGATCTGCTGGGTTGACCTGACAGCCAAGTACTCTTGTCTTAATTAGGATTTCTACTGCTGGGAAGAGACACCATGACCATGGCAACTCTTATCAAGGAAAATATTTAATTGAGGTGGCGACTTACAGTTTCAGAGGTTTAGTCCATTATCATCATGGCAGGGAATATAGCAGTGTGCAGACAGACATGGTGCTGGAGAATTCTACATCTTGCTCCAAAGGCAACAGGAAGTGGTCTGTCTCACTGGGTGTGGCTTGAGCATATGTGAGATCTCAAAGCCCACCTCCACAGTGACACACTTCCTCCAACAAAGGCCACACCCACTCCAACAAAGGCCACGCCTCCTAATAGTGCCACTCCCTTTGGGAGTCCTTTCCTTTCAGACCACCACACACTCTATCACTGAGCTTCGCTGTGACTTTATCCCTTTATTGGCCAAGCTGTAAGTCTGGGCCGTGACCAATGGCACTGTCTGGTTCTGTGTAATTCGGGGGGGGGGGGCAAATATCTAAAAGTTCCCCCCAGTGAGTGGCAGACCCAGGACTCACTCAGATGCTCAGCAGAGGCAGCTAGGCTTGGATGACACAGCCCTGGATGAACTTGAACTCTGAAGGCTTGGCCTGGGCTGCATGTTTGAGGGGCTTGGAAGGAAACACCTCCTGCTCTTGGCATCCCTTCCAAGGCTCCGGGAGACCAGTCTGTGAAAGCGCCAATGTTCTCTTCCCAGGCTCCACCACTGAGCCTGGCAAGGAAGGAGCTTCCAGGTGGTGGCTTGGCTTGTTCCCTGGATTCTGTCCCAAAGACTCTGTCATCCTCTTTGGTTGTTTGCTGTGCCTAATTGTCTCTGGTTTTCAAACTCCCTTCCCAGAAGCCACATTTAGTGGCTAATCAATATACAAACCCACAAGTGAACTGCACTTAAAAAAAGTCCCGTCCCTGATGGGACTTGAAAGGCAAAACCCATTTGGTAAGTGCTTACCAGATCACTATTAACAGGGAATAATGTCCCCAGAACAGTCTGTGGGGCAGGCTTTACCCTCTGCACTTTACAGAGAAGGAGCCCATTATTTCCTTTTTTTTTTTTTTTTTTTTTTTTTTTTTTTTTTTGGTTTTTCGAGACAGGGTTTCTCTGTGTAGCCTTGCGCCTTTCCTGGAACTCGCTTTGTAGCCCAGGCTGGCCTCGAACTCACAGAGATCCGCCTGCCTCTGCCTCCCAAGTGCTGGGATTAAAGGCGTGCACCACCACCGCCCGGCTCCATTATTTCCTTTTTAAAAAAATTATTTTTTCCTTTTTGGAGATAGGTTATAGCTATGTATACCCCAGGCTAGCCCCAAACTCACAGTCCCGCCCTCCCCCTTCCCTTGTGCTAGAATTACAGTCTTGAGCCACCACACCCCACGGCTCCTTAAATATGCCATTTTGAGTGCTACCCCCCTGCTCTAACCACTTGCTGTGGAATGCTGCCATTATTCCACCCAACAACCCTGTAAGATCATTAACTGTCATTAACCCTATTCTACATATTAGAAAACAGACTTTGAAAGCCCATTATTTCTGCCATGGGTCATAGAGCCTGTGTCAGAGACGCCACATAGTCCTTACTTTTTTCAAGGTTGTAACCAAATACTGGACAAGAAACTTCAGGGAGGAAAGGCTCATTGGCTCATGACGCAGGGGTTGCATCCATCATGGCGAGGGAAGCCTAGAGGCAAGATCACGCCTGTCGGGGGCAGGAGGAGGCTGCCAGCTCTCACCTTTGGGTCAGGAAGTAGAGGGGGTGCCATTCAGTTGGCTTTCTTCTTTCCCCCCTGTACTCAGTCTGGGACCTCAGGCCATGGAATGGTGCCAGCTACATTTGGGCCAGTTCGTCCCCCTCTTAGTTATTCCCCGCTCCCCCAAAACACCCTAACAGACACAGCCAATGGTATGAGCCTCACTAATGCCCTGGGTGTTTGTAATTTTTAAAAATGTGTTGCTTTTGTGTGTGCATATGCACACACACACACATGCACACGCACACGCACACGCACACGAGTGCATGCAACACAGCACACTGAGGAAGTGGGGGTCAACCCACAAGAATCAGTTCTTCCCGTCCACCATGGAAGGGACTGGACTCAGGCCGTCGGGCTCTGTGGCAGGCACCTTTGCCTGTTGAGCATCTATCTCACTGGCCCTCTGTTTTTTGCTTTTTTAAAATTTTTTTATTTTATTTTTTGAGATAGGGTTTCTCTGTGTAACAGCTCTGGTTGTCCTAGAACTCGCTCTGTAGACCAGGCTGGCCTTGGACCCACTGGGTGTTTTTTTTTTTTAATCCAGTAAAGTCAACAATCAGACTTACCATTCAAAATGAACCTGAATCTTTGTATTTCAGAATGCATCCCCAACTGCTATGTGTATCGCTTCACCCATTCATCCATCCAGTCAGTAGTCAAGAAGAGCTGGCCGTGGGCAGGGCTTTGTGAAAGATGCTGAGAAGTATGATTAATGAGAAACAGGCATGACCCCCTGCCCTTAATCACCTGTGGCACCACAGAGAAGAAAAATATGAAGTAAATCACCCCTAAATTAGTTGAAGTTTGCAACAGAGCAGCAGAGCCCATGGGAATTCACATGGGAGCTCTGACTTGATCAGGATGTGGAGGCAAGTTCCTTGGGGAAGTATTGACTGAGCTCAGACCAAAACCGTGAGTGGATGTAGGTGAGAGAGGAGGGAACCCTGTTCGAGGCTGAGGACACAGCATGTGCAAAGGTCCTGTGCAGGGAGAGGAGATAGAGAATGGAAGGGGCTGAGAGCTCTGGCTGAGAGGACAGTGCAGGGGTGGAGTTTGAGAGGCGGGTTGTGGATGACACACAGGGCCTTGCAGAACACATTAAGGATATAAAACTCAATTCTAAGAGCCAGGTCAAGTCCAGAAGTGAGACGTCAGATTTTCCTTACATTGAGCCCTGGGGCTCACTGGCCAGCTAGCCTAGTCTACTTGGTGAGTTCCAGGCCAGTGAGAGACTCTGTATAAAATAGGGGTGGTGGCATTTGTCTTAGTTTGCTGTCTGTTGCTGGGACAAAACACCTTATGCTCCAACGCAACTTGAAGAGGAAAGGGTTTACTTGGCTTACAAGTTAAAGTCCATCGTCAGGGAAACCAAGACAAGGCAAGGACTGAGGCAGAGACCATGGAAGAATGCTCCAGTGGTCTGGGCCCTCCCACATCAACCATTAGTCAAGAAAATGCCCGACAGACTTGCCTACAGCCAAGCCGATGGAGACATTTTCCCACCTGAGGCTCCTCTTCCCAGACGGCTCTAACTTGTGTCAAGTTAACAACAAACTAGCTGGGACAACTAGCTCTTGCCAGCGTCACACAGTCGTACGTCACTAGAAAACCCTAACTTTTCTTGTTTATCTCCAGGTTCTCATTAATATCACTATCACAGTATAAAACACATTCCAACTTTTGTTTGTTTGTTTGTTTGTTTTTTGAGACATGGTTTCTCTGTGTAGTTTTGGTGCCTGTCATGGATCTCACTCTGTAGACCAGACTGGCCTCAAACTCACAGAGATCCGCCTGCCTCTGCCTCCCGAGTGCTGGGATTAAAGGTGTGCGCCACTACCGCCTGGCGTCACATTCCAACTTTTAAAATTCCACTGCCTAAAATTCAAAACTTAAGTCCAATCTCTTTGAAAACATCAGCACCTCTTTAGAAGTCCTAGTCTCTCAAATGAGTGCTCCTGTAAAATAAATTAAACACGTTTTTTACTCTGAGAGGGAAGAAGCCGTCACAATCGAACCAGAGCAAAACCAAGACCACAACAGTGTAAACAGCTCAGTGTTCAGCATCTTGGACTCTTGATTTTCTGGGCTCCACACACAATAAATGAGCAACAAACAAATCCATCTCCACAGTGGTCTGAGGAAGAGAGGCAAAATGAGGGGCAGGCGGGCCTGGTGGAACTTTCATGACTGCGGGCCTCCACCTCCATGGTCTATGCACCACCCTCGAACCTCAGACCCCACTGCTGAGGAGAGCGTGTGGAGGTTGTAGACATCGGCACGGCTGATGAAACTGTGGCTACTGAACTCATTCAGCAGCCCCCCTGAAAAGTCCTGTGCCCCATGCTGTGGACGATCTTTCTGACGCCCAGCCCCCATCGGGAATTTTCTAGGCCACTTCCCCTTATCCAGCCTCTGGCTAAGATCATTGTGATAGTAAAAACACACCCAGGAGACTCCAGTAGCTTTAGGCACTCTAAGCCTGCCTGTCCTAGGATAAAGACTAAAGGTTTATGAAGTTCCGGGAAAGCCGAGAGAAGTCAGCGTACATTCCAGAACCAGTGTTTTGGCCCACACTCAGTCTCAAGCTAAGGTCCTCTCCTACACGGTGGCCCCAGGGCCGTTGGGTGGGATGGAGGCCTGTGTCAGTCAGATCTCCATTACATGACGAGACACCCAAGAAAGTCAACAGAAAGGGAAGAAGAGCCAGGCATGGTGGCACACACCTTTAATCCCAGCACTCGGGAGGCAGAGGCAGGCAGATCTTTGTGAGTTCGAGGCCAGCCTGGTCTACAGAGCGAGATCCAGGAAAGGTGCAAAGCTACACAGAGAAACCCTATATCGAAAAAAAAAAAAAAAAAAAAGACAGCCAAGACTGTTGCACAGAGAAACCCTATATCGAAAAAAAAAAAAAAAAAAAAAAAAGGAAAGGAAGGGAGGGAGGGAGGAAGGAAAGGAGGGAGGGAGGGAGGAAGGAAAGGGAGGATATCCTCCTTTAGCTCATGGTTTTGAGCTTTGGATCCATGGCCACTTGGCCCTGTCACCTCGAAGCAGGACATTCACAGTGGCCAGGAGGCACAGAGTGCGGAAGGGGCAGAGTCCTGCTCTACCAGGGGTACCCCTTCTGCCCCCCATGACCTACTTTATACAACTAGTCCTCACCTCCTGAAGTCTCCACCACTTCCCAACAGCGCCGTCTACTGGGGACCGAACATCCAAGACGTGAGCTTTCTCGGGGGTTATCCAAGATCAAACCTCAACAGTCTCTTTCTCTTTTTTCATTCTTTCTCCAGGAGATTGTGACTGCTTTAAGCTGTGGCAAGAACATTGTGCCTATCATTGATGGCTTTGAGTGGCCCGAGCCTCAGGCACTGCCTGAGGACATGCAGGCTGTACTCACCTTCAACGGCATCAAGTAAGTCCTGGGCCCTAGAGAGAGAGAGTTAAGGAAGGAGCTGGTGTGTGTGTGTGTGTGTGTGTGTGTGTGTGTGTGTGTGTGTGTGTGTGTGCG